CAATAACTCAAATAACATTATGATCTAGTATTCAAATGAGCAAAAACAACAACTTTTTCTTTTTATTTTGCTTACTAGTATCCCTAGAGTTCATAGGGGTTCACATTCCGCGTGAACCTAATATCTAAACTTATCAACTAACCGGTCATTCTCATACTCCGTCCGGTATGAGCGCCAAAAATACTATCCATCGATACCCCTTCTGGTATGAGGATAAATCGGGTCATCTCCATACCTTGTCTTGTATGAGGTAATGTTCATAGTAGGATTCTCTATGTACCCGGTCCGTCCACCATATCGCAGGATATCCAGTAAAACAATCATTCATTAATTCATATAACCAACTAATTTTTCATTTGCATATTAATTTAAATTTTCACAAATCAACCGTAAATCAGGCAAGACAAACGATATATGCATCAAGTAAGCACAACTGAATCATTTAACCATTCTAATATATTATCATGTATTTTAAAGTTGTAAATTTAAATAATCAATTAAACAGGACAAATAAATAACTATGCAGTTTTGGCTCCATTAGTGACCTACAATTATTTTTAAAGTTTTTCTAAATTTTACAAAATACCATATTATTGATTATTAATCTTCAATTCTATAACATAGAATAGGGTGAGAGATTTTTACCCGAATCGATGTTCGAAACACCGAACTTTCTACTGCGTCTACTAGCGGTCTCCGAATTTTCTGAATTTTCATGTTGGAGAATAAAACACGCTTTACTACCTAAAAATATCCCAAAAATCTAAATTCGGTGTTAAAAATATTTTTCGACCAAATTCGGGATTCCAACACGGCAACACCATTGTGCTCCGGTGATGGCACCACCGCCCGCGGCGACGGGTTACCTCGGTCTGACCGTTTTTAGCTTGTTTTGGCTAGTTTCAGCCACCTTTATACATATTTGTAACGACCCCGAAAATATCCAAATGAAATAAAAGATAATAAAAGTGCAGAAACGTAATAAATGTTAAGGGTTTATATTCCTTACACAAAGAACTCAAAGTACCAAATAGTGTTACGAAATTCATTCTTTCGAAAGAAACACAAGAATAAGGAAATAAATGGAAAATAAAGAAATCTAGTATCTACTCGCAATCCTCATGCGGATCGAGCTCTGGAACCTAGTCATTTTGATCTGAAATGGTTAAATAAGAGATGAGCTACACTAGTCCAATAAGGATATCACACTATATCACCGACACAGAAGTAAAGGTTGGTATAAAATTAAAACACCAATGGAGCACTTAATTTAGACTAATACATTTATTAATAATAGAACTATTTACTGTTCACTTACAATAGTGCGATTCATAAAAACAATCTATACAGACAATAATATTACACAGATCATGATTTCATGTATAATCAACAATTGTAGTACACATTATAAGTATATGTTCATCATCAATAAATACACAAAAACTATTGCTCTTTTTACCAGCCTGCTGGTATCCATAGGGGTTCATAGGGATGTTCCCGCTGCACGTGAACCCTTTCACTTAACATTCTCAATCATGAGCCGTCCTCATACCCCATCCAATATGAGCGCCAATTTATCAAATCTCAATACCCCGCCCGGTATGAGCGCTAAATTATCAAGTCTCCGTACCCTGTCCGGTATGAGACAACGTTCATGGTAGGGTTTCCTATATACCTGGTCCGTCCACCATCTCTCAGGATATCCAGTAAAGCTGCTGTTTCATCTATTCATTTCATCACATAATTTTTACCGTTTAACTTTTATTTTTTCCGATTTAGCAGTAAACATATAAAATAAACTTTACATGCATTCAAAGTCATAAAATCAATTAATAAGATACCATCATACTTTTAGACTGTAAAATAAATCAACAGAGAATAATTTTCGGTTCTGCCTCCATTAGCAAGCCGTAATTAATTATG